CCAGATGTTTGTGATAACCGGATTTATGAATATCATAAACAAGGCAATGACTGATCAGTTTCCTCGATCAATAGCACATGTCTCAGAATGAGCTGTCTCTGTTAAGAGAATTCAGGTTTGTTTTCCTTGATATATACATAACAATTAAAATCCATAATTCTGTGAAGTAAATAACTATTTGTTTTTGTGTTGGACTTTGACAAAAATGTCAGGTTTAATTTATAGAATTGGTACAATATTTTTATTTTCATGCTTTGTTGTTTTGTTCTAAGCTTATTTCCCTTACTAGACAACTTTTTTCATTCCAGAGGTTGTATTGTACCAGCAGCAAGGTATAATGATGAAATGGATGATCATACCACAAAATCATTATCATCAGCAGGTACAGCAAAATGAGATTGATGAATCGTTTGAAAATGTTGCAATCTTATTGAGATCTGTGTCACTATAGCAAAGTGGTAATGCAAATGCTCAGGCAAAAACTTCTTCACAGGATTAGCTTAACTTTCACAGTTTCATTCATATTAAAATGAGTGTTAAGGAGAGTTAAATTTTAATAATTAAATATAGTGGCCTTCAAGGGAAACATGAATAAATCTATTATTTTAAATTATTGTGTTGTATTTGAAGGATATGCATGGTTATTTTAATTTTAACACAGAGATTTGTGGTGAAGTGACTACTGCAACTAGGTACGTTGCAAATGATATGAAGACCACAGACTTAATCTGTGACAAAAGCAGATCTCTTGGAAATGAATGCAAGATGGAGATGGCGAAGACTGGTGCTCTGGAATTTAACGTATATGCAGAAGAAAACAGTACAGATAGTGGTGACACTCCAGACAAGAATGGTCTCAAGGTTACTAATGTGATGGCCGTGTGGACTGAGAATTTGCCTGAGAACACGCTTACTGATGTGAGTCTGGAAGTAAGACCTGGAGGACTGGTGGCTGTCATTGGACCTGTTGGATCAGAGAAGGTCTGTCACTTTCATGACACTGGTGTTTCCTTGGCATATCATTAATTTATTTTATTAATGTTATTAATGTGTGGACAACAGACTTCAGTCAATTGCAGATAACCTATACCTCTCACATACAATAGCTATCAGATTTATTCATCTTTGTCTTGTAAGAATAGTGTTTTTGGTTTTGTGTGGTTTAATTCAACAGTAAGTAATTTATGCAGTAATTCTACAGTTTGTGGAGAAGTTTAAACTTCATTTGCATTGTGTCACATCTTAAGTGCCATCCTGCTTGTAGAGTGTAACAGTAATGTAAAATTATGCTATTAAATCCAGTGTTAAAGTTCAGACTGCAGCTCCATAATATGGGGATATCCTTTCCACATTCCCATACAATAAATGTTAAAGCAAGCTCATATATTTATAGATCTGATGTATAAATTTCCATATGTACACTTTTAAGTAGTTGATATATTCTCATCAAGTTCCATATTTATAATCTAGGCATTTCTTTCATAGGACCAAGGAAAACTTTTATTCATCATAAATCAGTGTTCCAATGAAGAATGATGCAGTTAAAAATATACACATGTAATCGATCAGCCATCTAGCCAAGACTCAAATTGCGTTCCCCATGGATGCAAGTCAGATGCAATATGCTTATTATGAGTCCTTTATTCCCTTAGAGTGGACATATCAATAATTATGATTAACTGTGTTAATTAGTGAACACTTTTTTGTATTTAATGACACTTTGTCAACTGCATATGTTATGCAATATTGATTGGCAGGATAATTGTAAAAAATTACTTGGAAGTTGTGGCCTAGTTTAAGACATCACAATATTTTTGGAATGACAGAATGGCCAGATTCTGGACTGAGATTTCAACCAAGGTGAATGCGAAGCAGGAATTCTGATCACTGTACTGTAATATTGAGAAGTTAGTGGAAGTGTTGGTACATTTGTTGCAACGTTCTCTGTAACGGAACAGTTTTTGTTAAGTCTCTTTTCTCCATGACATGTTTTTCGGAAGATAAGTGTGAAATATTTTGATGTTACTATCAGATTTTA